CCTTTAAAAGAACTATAAATTCTATAAATCTCCTGACAGGCCTTGGAAATGTTCGTGCATAAGCTAGCGCTGCTTTTATAAATAATGCATGAAATAATCTATCCCGCACATTAATCAACGGGTTTTGATTATTGTTATTTCTAGCTATATTCATATTATTATTATTTAAAACTGGTCCTATCACGCCAGCAAGACTGTGAAGATTGTGCGCCACTGCGCCGTTTTGATTATTAGGTACTGCAACAGCAGCACCGCCTCCTTGTGACATTTTTGAATATCACATAAGTAGCTCCCACAAAAATAAGAATTCAAATTTGTGTATAAACTATTTACACATTTGTCATTTCCAATAATTTGCTGGAGACATATTCTGAAACAAATAACAGATTTTTAATTAACATTGTTTAATCAATCTAGACATATTTAAGTTTATAACAAACTCTATAAAAGAAATACGTCTTTTAATATTTTAGTTTTTGTAAATGCAAAACATTCTTAAACTAAATATTCTTATACACTTATAAATATATTGTTGTTTTTTTTCTGCAAACATAATGTGGCAATTTAAATAGCTTCAAACACAAAATAATGATATTATTATTATCAAATGCAATATTGTTTTTCTCATCATATATATTTTGAGAATTCACACAATTTAAAATAAAAGAGCTCGTAATTAAATCTTAATTTAGCAATCTTTAACAGCTTGTGAATTCTAGATCACAGTAAAGTGAATAGTATGCCGAGTCATACAATCTAGTTCTGATTTTTTCGTTGTATTAAATATTATACTCGTAACTCTTTTAATATGATTTATTATCATCATACATTGCGTAAATATTCTAATGTTTGTTATAATATCATTATTTTTATTTGCTAAATATAAATCGAAAATAAATAAAGAATATATATACATATATATAGCGCAAGGCTAATTATTTATGCTAAATATAGAGAAACATGTGTGTGTATGCTATATTAAATATTTTTAATGTAAAGCTAACAATATCAATAAACTAGATGGAGACACATATATATAAAAGTAAATATAAAAGTCTAGAATTTATATTACAAGATATAAAAAAGAAATTTATCTAATCTAACCTAATTTGTAAAGTGTGTAATATTCAATAGAATATAACCTATTTTGCGTCAACATTTAAATTTTCAGAAAAAAAAAGAAAAATTCAGAGAGAATCGCTTTTTCGAAGGACTCTTCGACTCTTCTACATCCAAAGTTTATTTCTACCCGTGTTGAATATAACGAAGTAATATAAATCGCGCATAAAAACATCTAGGCAAAACAGTGACAGTGAATGTTACTCCGTTACGTAATTTTTAGATTGAAAAAAAAGATGAAATTCGTCAACTGTTTAGAAGAAACGTTAATTGCATTAATTATATCCCTTCACAATCTGTATAGCGACTGTATGTTTTACACAGAGAATAATATAGATATACCTGATATTTTATGCTTGGTAACATCAACCGTTGTCGAATTTCCAGAAGTTTTTAAGAACAAATCTGGCATGTCATACCTTGTGACAGGATTGCAGTAAGAAATGTCAACGATTTCGACGACACCGTTATCCCTCTTTCGTTAACGTGGATCAAATTCAATCGCGGAAAATTCCTATGTATTCGCCTAAGAAATACGACGTTCGCAAAATTGTCACTTCATCGTCGTATGTTTTGATGTATACCACATAAATCGTATCAGATTGTATCATCCACTAATCATCGTCTACACGTGCAGGTTCGTCAATCGTGATTTGTAAAACGTGTCAGAAAAAGAAATAACTAGATACGATCGACGCAAGAATTCGACGTTCATTGGCTTGGCGCGATAAAGACAGATTCAATTGGTTAGCGCAGACTAATTCAACGACGCTCGTGTATCTATTTACTGTCAGTGCCAATACTGAAAATCTATAGTGCACGTGACATAAACTATACATTTTCAGTACTGACAGTTAATATCGGAATGCAATCTAAATGTATGTTTATTTTCTTTCAGTTTTTTGTTAGAAAGAACGATCTTTCAAAAGTAAAAGAATAACACAATTCGTATAAAAATCGTATAAAATATCTACATTCTGGATGAATGGCTACCTTTGTTAGGGGTTTCCTGACAATTGATTACTGGTTGCAACGCATCCGCATCAGCCAATCAAAACGTTAGCGTCGTATCTGTAAACAGCAGGTGTTGCAGTTGTCAAAATTCCATTTAAATTTTAACGAGTATATGCAAATATACCAATATCTATTATAACAAATCGGAGCAACAGCAATACAAATTATACTTATTCAAGTTTTTGAAGATCAAGTCGAAAAATATCATTCATATTATTGTATTATTGTATCTTAAATAAAAAAAAATTTATGATATTGCTATTTACATTTATATTTTCTATACGCACAAAAATAATTTCTTAGCAAAGACGATATTTTATACATATGTGACATATTTTAATGCAATTATGTATTCACCATTATCGCCACAAACTAGTCTCAGTTCAGAATTGAGAAAGATCATAAATGAAAGAAATATGCTGAGTATGCGGAGCCGTATGAAAGGTATATATAAAATTTATATTTTTTCATACATTTAATAACAGTTCTTATAATTTTATATTATAATATTTTTAGTTTTACATGCCTTGAATGAAGACAATGAGAGATATGCAGAGGAAAGAGAGAGAACTCTAAGATCACAAGCCATTCAAGAGATATTAACCACAGAAGTTACCTATTTACAACAATTGGAGATTTTGGCAGAGGTATATTTTAACATGTCGTTAATTATAAAGTTGTTATAAAATATTATTTTTTTATATCTTTGTTTCTATAGTTTTTTATACAACCTATTCTTGAAAGAAAATTATTGAATCATCCATTACTTGTCACTCTATTGGAGAACATAAAGACATTATATAATGTGAGTGGTGAATTAGTGGCAGGAATAAAAAATAATCCCGACAATATCACCGAAGTATTTCACAAACTGGCACCTTTTTTTAAACTGTATTCCATTTATGCTTATGATTATACACAAGTGCTGAATCTATTACAGGTAATTATCAAGTATCGTAAAGATTTATTAAGTATTTCAATTTACTCAAATTTAATGCAATTTATACTTTACAGATTTGCTCATATTTATACATATATATTTTTTTTAATATATATGTATTAATATTAAATATTTTTAATTAAATAAAATATTTCTGTTGAGAAATATATAGAAACAAAGAAGCATTAGTATTAAAATTTACCTACAAGTTTATCTTTTTCTAGGCAAGTGAAGAGAGTGATGCTATATTTAAAAAATTTATTTGTGATCAAGAAACAAGACCAGAAGTAAGTAGGAAATTATCTTCGTTGTTAATTACTCCAGTGCAAAGAGTACCAAGATATCAATTACTTGTTAAAGAAGTGTTGCAACATACTCCTTATAGACACAGAGAGTATAGATCTTTACAAGGTAATTAGGATTATCAATTTATTAGCCAACATACATAATTTTATTTTAATGTATAATAATTTTAATTTAATATTTTGATTGTAGCATGTTTAGTTGAAATTGAAAAATCTGCAAAACATATAAATGCTTTAATTGCACAGAATGAAGAAATGCAAAAATTGTTAAATCTTCAAAAAAGCATTGTTACTTCGATTAATCTCGTTAAGCCTGGTAGAATATTAATCAAACAAGGACCATTGATGCGTGTTTCAAGACGAGGCAATTCTGCTTATAAGAGATACTTTGTACTTTTAAATGACACTTTACTATATTGTAAAGGCGAGCCAGGAACTTCATTAAACGTATCTTGTGTTCTACCATTAAACAAGTGCAGTGTAACTTGTGTTCTGAGCAAGAAACTGTTTCGTATAACGTGCTTACATGAAACGTTCCTATTATATTCAGAAAATGGCGATAGCAACGAGTGGATGCAATCTATTGAAAGTGCTATCAGAAAAGTACTTGTTATATCATTAAAAACATACATACTTTATGTTCAGTTCTACCTTTAAAATATTGATATATTATTTCATTTTCAGTATAGTGAATGTAGACAAACCTTAAGAAAGGAAAGTAGCTCAAGAAAACCACTTAGACATAAGAATATTAATGAATTTCCATCAGATAATATAACAAAAAAGTCCATTAAAAGGAAAAGATACATGAGAGATGAACAGGTAAAAGTTACTATTTTATGTGCATAAATTATTATTGATATGTTTTTTAAACATTTAACAAAAAACAAACTATATAAAAAGTTAATTGGTTTAGAAAATTTTTCCACAGATATATTATCTTTACAAATATAGTAAGTTAATGCCAATTTCTGTATTAAAGGTATCATTGGATTCTTCCAATATTATATACTTTAAAAAGGATATAGAAGCGGATGATGATATTTCACAAGAAAACACTTGTTTATTCTTTTGCACTAAGAAATTTAAACGAGATCAGTTTTCTAAAACTAGTGATAATGCTCCTCAAGTAAAAAATATAAAATTACATAAAAATATAAACAAACAATGTGTACCTACGTATAAATATTTAAGAGAATCAAACAATTACAGCAATAATGTAAGTAAAAAATGTACATTTTAATAGAAATAGAATTCAATGCAATTTATACTGTAATAACATTTAATCTTCTCCTTAGGATTTAGCAGCAATGAGGATGCACGAAACGAGTTCAATTGCGTCGATCAGTGAAGAAAACGTATCGTCACCATTTCGGATACTCGGCGAATTTTTTACCTACATCGGTACATCTATAAAAGATCTTTTTACATTCAGATAATTTACTAAAATATTCTGTTGTAACATAAGATGATAAGGTGGAAGATAAATTATTGTTATTATAATGATATAGAGCTACATATCGTATTGCGTATGTATGTATATGTAAATTATTTTATTTTAAAGTATAAAAATAATTAAATTTTTTGCATGATCAAATTCTTATAGCAAGTATATGTTAGCCGAATGTTATAGAGTTTAATTGAAATTGATTGAAATGGAGATCAATGATTATCAATTTGTCCTCTCCATGTCAAAAATCAAGATCTTCCCCTCTCGCCAGTTAGTCACTATGAGTCACTAGCCACTGATACCACCACAGATTGAGAGACAAAATCCACGCGTGCGCAATGACGTTAGCGTGCTGACAATGAGAATGAAACTTTCCTTCGATTTGAGAACATTGCGTTACAAGCGCAGTGTACTGATCACTTATGGTCAGAGCTATAATAGAGGGACTACTATAAAGAATATATTTGTTCTCGTAGGTAGGTAGATAGACATCACGATCAATCACAAACGGTGTACTCTACATTCCACATTTGCGATAGTATAGTACGTCTGACGCCAAAGAAGGAGGTGATAAGAAAGTAGAAGGGCGGAGAGCAACGTTATCTGTTCGGAAAAGTTAAAAATACTGCGATTGATGAAAAACTATCGAAAATACTCCGAGAAGCCAGTGAAGAAATTTATAATGCTCTTCGTTCTTCTCTACGACATTCTCTTCGTATAATTATTCATCGTCCTAGCATCCCGTGATTGTTTAATACAATTTTTAATTAATCTGCGCTATTCTATCGGAACTGTGGGAATCGCTTTTCATCTCATCGACTTTACACTATAAAGTGAGAAAGCTTCTTATGAGACGCAATAATGGACATGGACCACAGACGTCCGTCTCCAATATTTTCTCTTCTTTCACGCGTAATATAATACGACCATATATATCTTTGGAAGAAATATAAAGCGCTACGAGATACATATACACGTATGCATACATACGCGATACATACTAATTGACGCGAATCATATTTTCGATAGAGTTTTGTAGAAACAATCTTTTTTATATTTAATTTTGCTATAGTCATCGTGTTATAGTAATCGAATGTTAGATGACATGATAATTGGAATTGTATCTTGCTTTTACATGTATTAATTAATTATTATATTGTAATATTACATTATATCCTATATATACATGACACAGCATTAATATTATTTTTTATATAAAAATCCAGCCAATGTTATGTTAGTATTATATATGTATTTTGTACCAGTAATTACATGATTTATTTATAGAGTAAATTGTACTTTACAAATATATGTAAATCATATAATTACTATTATAAAAAAAAAATATTTTTTTATCCATCTCTGAATAAGAAATTGCTATTATATATATATCTATATATATTTATATATCTTTTTTTATTTTACAGAAATTTCTTTACGAATGGATATTTATAACAGATAGCAATGGAAGGCCCATTAGAAATAAAAAACTCTAGTGCAGACACTGGACAGGAAGAGCCTATTAAATCTGAAGCTCCTATACAAAATCCTGATAGTAGCGAGCGAAGCGATGGTGCTACCTCTCCGCCACCAAATTGCAGCATTTGCCTAGGAAAATTAGTTAACACATCTTTTACGGACAGTTGCCTGCACCAATTCTGTTTCAATTGTTTGCTCGAGTGGTCCAAAATAAAAACAGAATGTCCTCTATGCAAGCAAACATTCAAGTCGATTATACACAGTGTGAGATCGGAGGAAGATTATGCTCAATATCATATACCTCGCGAATTAGCATCTCAAATTTCTCAACCACAAGTTGCTTTGGATTTCAACTTTGGCATCGATGGCAATTGGGACGTTGTTCCTCGTCGATTTGTCTACAGGTATTATATATATATCTGGGTAAAGTAAATGTATTGTTATAATTTGAAAAGATTCGTATTTATAAGGTAATTCTATACAATGTTTCTTAGGACGACAATGACTGGCAATCGCCGGCACGGTGTGCTATTAAATCCAGAACAAGTTACAAGACGCGAACAATTGCCGAGTATGGCACCTCAAGTGCCTAGAGAGGAGCGCAGACGTAGGCGCGCTAATCCTACAGATTATCGTCGTACCGTTTATAGGCATGGTATATGGGCTACTTCATTACCTGACATATTTGGACGTTTCCGCGAATGTAGTGCCGAGTACTACAGGTAAATATTTCTTAAAGTTTTAAATTTATTCTTATATATTTTTTATATTTTGAATTATTATATAAATCTGTAACTTTATATTAAAGGATCTTATAAAAAAAAATACAATTATATAAAATAATATATTTAAATTATTTTATTAATTATATATCATAGAAGACAACCACAAGAATTAGATCGCCTTATACCATGGATAAACAGAGAGTTGCAAGTTTTACTCAATAACGAACCAGGCATTATTGCGTATGCATTGAGCATAATAATGAATGCCTTAACTCGATTTGATATTAGAAGTCCTGAATTTCGAAATATTGTACAACCTTTCCTCGCTGCGCATACAGATCATTTTGCACATGAATTATTGAATTTTGCCCAAACCAACTTTGATCTAGTTGGATACGATCAATCTGTTACTTATTTGCCACGTGGTTTGTATTTACATGGATTTTATAATTAATGACAAATATATATCTAATTACAAATAACATATATATTCGTGTGTACAAATCGTGTGTCAATCAGGTTTGTCAAATGAATATGCAACCCGTATTATATCACCTATATCTAGTAGCACTAGTAGCAGCAGCAGTATTACTTCTGATAACTCGGATGTACGAATACTCGATGAAGCGATTGATTTAAGAGTAAATACCGAAATGCCGACATTGCCCACAATACCACATTCTATCAGCATACCAGGTAACAAATTAATGAATTATATCCCGAATCACATTTCCTACAGTTATTCATTTGTCAAGAAGAAGAAAAAAAAAGAGAAAAATAGAAAGAGTAGAAAAAAGCGGAATACACTTGCAAATTATAATATCAAAGAACACATTTAAAAAAAAAATCATGACTATATGTTAAAGAAAAATTTAAAATTCTCTTGTACTTAATTTTGAACAAATTATACAAATTTTCAGTTAGGCTCGTAATGCAAGTTTTAAATAAATACAAATTGAAATTTACATTGCTTAGCATGCTATTGTATTTCAAACTTTTTATAATATATAGTGACAAAATATAATATATTATTATGTATATTTATTTAGGACCTAGTACAGTCGGGCCTAGTACAGTATATCACAGAGTAGAAACACCTTACAATGTACCAGAACTCTTAATCGTTTCGTCGAGTTCCTCTGAATCAGATGGCGAATGCGAAATAATTGGCTATGTGAAACCACGTCATGAAAGAACACCAGAAATCATAGAACTACTTTCTTCTGATTCTGAGCATTCTGTTTCTCATATAATATCTAATGGAAATACACAGTAAGTTACAGAGAAACTATATATTAAACACATACATGTGTTTATATAGCCTGCGTTTTGATATTCACTGCCAGTACTGGAAATCTAAAGTTTACATGACGTAAACTATAGATTTTTACTAGCAATGAACATCAGAATACAGTCATAGTGTTTATCTTATTCAACTATTCAATCACAATTGATATGATAATAGAGTGTCTTTAAAAATTGTTTACACACATTTATTAATAGAAGTATAGAATAGAATATGTAGCTGTAAATCTAATCACTGTTTTCTTATCAGATCGAATCCAAACAGAACATGTCCGGAAAATTTGTCACTACCAAGCACATCTCACACTGTAAAAGCATCATCTATATCATCTTGTTCGACGAGTAGTGATTCTAATTCTGACGATAATTCAAAACAAAATAAACGAAATCATGCTAGAAAATCAGGAAAAAAGACAGTCGTACAAAAGTATAAAAGATCATATGAGACAGAAAATCGCAATAAACGATGCAAAAAGAGAGTATTCAGTTCTGATTCTAGCTCATCCGAAAGTTCAAAGAATGTAATGAAATGTAATGAAAAACGATCGAGAAAGACAACATATAGAGTACAGGCTAAAGGTGCAGGGAGAATAAAGCTTATTAAAAGAGAGGAAAGTTATTCGGATGAAGATTCATCTAGTAGTGACAGTAGCAGTGCGGAAACTGATAGTAAAACGAAAATCACTAAGTGTCGTAGACAACATAAATCGAAAAGGAATCGTTCTCCCAGTGTCGATCATGCAGCGAAAAGTGGAAGAACAACAAGAAACAAGGAGAGAACTTTAATTCTGGAAAAGTTGAAGTCCAAAAACAAAGATCAAAAGTGTAATGAAAGCAGACAATCCAGATCTAGAAGTAGCAGTGAATCTTCTAATGTTTCTGAACGAGATAAACGGCCAAGTTATAGGCACCGAGAATCACGAAACACAAGCGAGTATGGAAATCAAGAAGACAGTGCCTCAATAAATAATAAAGATATGCCAAGAAATGAACATAAGTCTAAATCAAAAAAGAAAGCATATTACTTTGAATCTTCCGATTCAGAAGATGGTCATTTAAGGTCCAATAGTCAGTGTAGTAATAATTCTAATAGATCTTATCTACGTTGGAGAAAATCAAAACATAAAGAAAAACATAAAGACAAGGAGCGCCACAAGTCCAGGATATTCAATTTATCGCAATCGAATGCAAGTACAATCTTAACAATGTCCATTTCATCGAAAAATGACACGTATCCGACAAAACATTCCGATCGTAATAATTCCGATTATAAAGAAAAACATTCGCGCAAAGAATCGAAACATAGAAAGCCTGAAAATGAAAAGAAGTCGAGATCAAAGAAAAAAAAACGACGTATCCGATCTTCTTCCGCTTCTAATTCAGGATAATATTATTATATGCATCGCGATTTATATTAATCAATATTAACATTATGTAATAAAAATTTCGATTTAAGATAACATTTGAGTTTTCATAGTAAAAAAAATCTAATATGTAATCTAGTTAATTTCATGTGAATGTAGTTTGTATCTCATTTTGTTCATACACATTATACAATCGTAAATTATAAATTTTTATTCAAGAGTATAAATTAACTTCGCGATTGTCATACACATACTACATACATACATACATATATATATATATATATACAAATTCGTTATATTAAACCACAAGTAATGTTTTAAAAGGATATTTATAAATGTTATCTTTTTCTTAAGAATTAGCATTCATATTTTGAGATTTTGTTATATTTGCTTGCGGTACAAAAAATAGTTCCATTCATTTTAAAAAAAACCAAGCAACATTCTAATCATGAAGAAATATGTACATACTAAAACACATTGGAATTTGGATATAAAATACACAATCATGTTATTATAATATTCATGCAAACATTATTGCCATATAATGTATTATGCAAGACATGTTGAATTATCACGTTATCTTTCATGGGAATATAATTTTGCAGCACTATATATATATATGTGTAAAATATGTGCACACAATTTATTCTTTATATATACCATTATGTTGACAATTGAAGAAGCAATTTGTGCATATTTTATTATAATATTGGAATATATGTAAAATGATCCATATTGAGTTCCAAAGATTGTAAATATGTGTATTTCATAAACCATTAATTTAATTAAAATTTGCATGTTAAAATATGTATGATGGGAATGTGTATTTATGAATTATTAAAACTGGAAATTTACATGTATTTCTCTTATGTACAGTAATGGCTTTTTCTACAGTATTGGAATAATTTTTATCTATTTTTTTCTCTGGAAATATAATTGTTTACAAATTATTTTCTATAAAGACAATTTCTTTATATAAATATTGAGAATATACATATATATCTTTCATAGTTGTATGATCATTGCATTGTATGATGATAAAATGTTTCATCATTAGAGATTAGTTTTTAAAAAATAAATGTACGAGACAAAATTTTAATCTTAAAAAACACAAATCTTACATTTTGTAATATATCTAAGATATAATTGATGAGAAGATACAAAATATGAGATTGTACAATAAAATAAAAATATCAATGTGTATTGTTTAAAAATTGTAAATTCTTATACGAACTTTTACACATCAGGATTGTTTGCAATATATAACCTAGATAATAATTATATCAACATGAAAGATGATTACCAATATAAACATTGGTAAAAATAAGTGTGCGCACAGGATCGTGAAAAGAATATAAAATAATATGTGAATAATCAATATTTTATCTATTATAACAATGATAATATTTATAATTTTAAAACAAATCACAATTGTAAAAAAAACTTGGTTCTGAAACAAAATATGTTTATTTTACACATTCCTTATAAAATTCTTAATTTATGTAAACAAACATAATGTATAATCTAATGTATAATTTATATAAAATGTACACCTTCCGCATTGAACGCATGTAAAAGACTGGAAAAAAAAAAAAGATACATTTTTATTAATCTCAATGTTTCCTAGCCTTAACAATGTGATTTGTGACAATGACCATAAAGCATAGCTTAACATGTACAGATATCAATGGAAACAATTGAATTAGATTAAAAATTTAGATAATTAAATCTACAAAGGGTAAGGTCTACTCTCTATGCCATATATATAAAATATATATAAAATGTTATTAACTCTGCTTATTTGTACCTGATGAAGTCATCTATATCCATAGTCCTGGCTCGTTTACTTTCAGCCTCTACTTTCTTTAATATATTGTTTATCAATTGCTTGATATCAAAATTATCCAGGATAGTCTGTAAATGTGTTAAAACAAAATATGACAACAAACATTCAAACATGAAAAAGCATTTATACATATCGTTATCTAATATCATTTTCACTTGTCTTAATGTAAAATTTACCTTGTTATTCAAACTACAGTGAATTTTATAATTTTTCTCTAATAAAGTAATAACTGTGGTTTGCTTGAAAGCTGCGGATAATGTTTTATTTTTTCTTAAAAACGCGATTCGTGTCAAACCATCCCATTCTTGATAATTTATCGGTGGTGGTGGATTTCTCGGTTCAATTCTCACTACATTTGATTCTACTTTAGGTGGAGGTCTAAAGTTATTCTTTCCAACTTTCATTAGCATATCCACTCGTGCCAACAATTGCGTGTTAATGCTTAAGCGGCAGTACAATTTATCACCAGGTTTAGCTACCAAACGTTCCGCGAATTCTCTTTGAAACATAAGCACAGCACATCTGTGAAAAATTAAGTATATTTCTTTTGTATCGTCTGCATATTATAAATGTGGTATATTTATTTAAAGTTGTTACAAAAAACTTCTTGATATCACATAGCAATCTAGAAATTTATTTGCACAATTTGGAATTATTAGAGTGTAATATCTTTCTGCTCAACATAAATTTATTATTACCTGAAGATTGGTCTATGCGAAAGTAATTTAAATATTAATGGTGATGATATCTGGTATGGGATGTTAGCAACACACAAATCAAAGAATGGTAAATCCGATTTTAGTACATCTCCAACTACAATCTGTAACTTTGAATGATAAACAGTTCCTTGAACACGTTTTTGTAATTCCGCCACCATTCTTGGATCAATTTCACACGCTATTACTTTCTTTGCCTTTTCTAGCATTTTTACAGTCATATTACCCGTACCAGGACCGATCTCCAGTACGACATCAGTCGGCCTAAGCGCAGCTTTTTCAACCATATTTTGAATAACTAAAGGATTCTTCAAAATGTGCTGACCTTTACTCTTATGAAATAAAATCCCTGTAAAAAAGCAAAAGAAAAATGTTATATTAGAAACGAAGAAATAAATGTATATATTTCGTATATAAATTTATCGTATGATACTAATGTTCTTGCTGTTTTCTATTTAGCATTAACCTATAAATATATAAAATATATATTAAAACACCTTGTCTCGCCACTTCTTTGTGAACGCTGGAAGTCCGTACTTTCGGCATCGTTATTAATTATTAATTTTTTAACAATTAACCACGTGGTGTACATATATATACAAAACATTAGGCACAATTTAGAAGAGTCTCAGAGTCTGTTCTTCATATGTACATACACAGATGTGTTCATTTTGCTTACACTTTTTAAATGCGACTACAAATGGCACTCCATTTGACGCTATTTGTGCTTCGAAGAAGTTTGATGGACCAATCAGAGCAAAGAATCCTACGCTTCTTTTCAAAAATTTTATGTTGTATTTAAAAAATAAATAGAGGAAGAGGGAGGGAAACCGCAATATAAAATTAATTTTGTCGTATATTTTTATATAAAAGAATCATATATAACACGATTACGATATAAATAAAATAGAGTTGAATCTAAAATTTTTTATGCGCTTTGTGCTGAAAATTATGAGAAAAAAAATCATTTTTATTACATATAAATAAATTTCTTCCAAGTTTGTACATATCTTTTATTTTGACTTCTTTTCTCTAAAACAATCTTCTTTATAGTTATATTTACTTTTATATGTGAAGTTTGTACTTTTATATATAGCTATATAAATAATTTATATACGTATATGCGTTATGCATGTATTAATATATAGAATAGATAAATACATCTAATTATATTAATAATTTGTCTATGTTTAAAAACTAAAACCAAAATAGTTTCGCTATTTTTCGTCGACATTCTATTCCAATTTTTTGTAACTGAAAAGAATATTCAAAGATAATAACTCTTACACATTATAACACATAAATGTAGGTGTATAATCATTATTATTGAGTATATCAACTATTCAGCGAATTTTCAATCAGAATCACGTCTGCGCGGTTTCTGCATGGAATCCTCCGTATTTTTATTAAATCCACCATATGATTGCGGTCTCATTTTTAATGGGTACAATTCGTCCTGTAATTAATAAGAAATATCTCATCAGATCAAAAATAAGAAAAAATACTCTCTTAACATGAAAATACACGAAAGTGGTGAATTGTGAAACTTTAGAAAATACTTTGAAATGAAAACTAATGTATCGTACATATGTTAGATGTAAACATACGCGATTATAATAATTAAAAAGATTATTATATTAGTTATAAAAAGATTATTATATAATTTATATTTAATGTGTTTACAATTTTATTATTGAATATTTTTTTTTTTCATTCAAGTGGTTATAATCTTAAATTAATAAATGTATATAGATAAAATAGTAAAATAAAATACATCATATTTTTTTCATACATACGAAAAAAAATATATCAGTAAAAGCGCGTAATAGCTTTTCAACATGTATGCATGGAAAAATTCATTGAAATTATAATGCAAAAGTGATTTATCGTAAGCGACCTACGATAGCAAAATATGAAAAGTATTTTATACATAAGCAATATTTATAATACATAAACATGTATACATTGCAGAATACTACTAGCTCCAATTATCAAGCTTGTATACTTACAGTTGCTCCGTAATTGATTAATATATCAAAGCAATTCCAATCTGTTTTATGCAAAAAGTATCGCAGAGGCTTCTCTCTCGATCTGCATTTTTAACATTCATTATAATATACGTATAATATTATAAAATTATAAACTAAATAGAATATTTCACTTGTCGAAGCACGCGTTGATCATATAAAAATGTTAATTATTGTATATGTGTTTGAGCTTCGTATATTTCTAAAAGATAATATATATTGCACACGTTTTAGATAAAAACAAGTGTTAAAGCGTATATACAAATATATGACAATACCAGTCTATTCAATGTTCCTTGAATCTATCGTATTGTATTCTTTTTGACAAGTCTTAAGATCAACATTTTGTTCTACACTGTTATTTAATTTTCAACATTAAATATTATTACGATTAAACTGTGAAATAAATTTCTAAGATATCTTTCTTAAGAAACGAAATAAAATTGAGATTTCGAAATAGCAAAATAAGACTTCTCAATTTCTTTTTATATTCCATTAAAAAAAAAATTCTCGATGGTACAATTATTATTATCCGTTTACATATCCAATTTGTTATAATCGACTTAGTTTTGACGTTAATCATTTTCATGATTATTTCTCCAATAATTTCAAACTGTTTTTTTCGTTTAACTTGCGTTATATGCGATTGTAGAAGACCGTTCGATAGATGTCTGGGACACCCTATATAACCGTGACGAAACTCGCGTGTATAAAACTTTATCGCAGCGACAAACATCTGTAGAGATTACATTGATTAAGTGACTCGCTTTAACATTAATCGTGAATAGCTGCTCCTAAAATGTACTCTCTATTTGACTTGAAGAATAACGCTCGATTTATCTCATGGCGATCGCAGTCATCATTTTCGATGGTATATAAATCAAGGACACAATACACGTTGAGATACGTGATGCATATATCATACGTCAATAATTTATTCTTACTCCTATGTATGTACAACATTTATTGGCGACGTTTCGCCTCGCGTGTGGTACTCGATGTTACGCAGAAGAAAACAACGAATGTTTCGCGTGTAATTAATATTCTTATTACACAGGTATCGTGTAATACAATTTCTCATTCGATAAGTATATATAGTAGATTGCGCTAAGATTGCGTTAGATTAATTGTAAAACAAACTTGGTCTCGTGTAATAGTATGATCCCGTTCTATCTTCCGTATCTCATATATATTATATTTTTTTTAAAGCGATCAGACAGATGTAATTTATTGTGCACACGCGATTACATATTTAAATAGAAAGATACAACTGATATATACTAATCAAATCGCCATAATTCATAACAGACGTATTGTTGTCACGTATTGACTTGCGCCAAAAATGTAAAGTACAAAATATATATCAAATGTAGAGAATGTCCCAAAAATCCTAACTTTAATTTACTGTAACTGGATTCTTCAAATCTAAAATTAATTTTCTTTTTAAAAACATTTAAAAAATTTATAATAATTTTTTCATTTTAATTTTCTCTCTTTATTTCATTTAATAATTAAGAGATTAAAATTCTGGAACAGTAAATACCTTACTTGCCTATTTCAAGTAAGACTTTATTATGATTTCAAAATTAATGCTTCGATTTTCAATTCAGCAAAAATAAACTCTAGTGATGAAAAAAATTATCGTTAAAATTAAGAGCATCCTAAGACACCATATATATTACACACTTCTAAATTATCTAGATCGTAGTAAATTATCTAACCGTATATAATTATTCAAGGGATGGAAGAAATATATATAATATAAACATTATACAACACATCGATTCAATTGAATCATTCATCCTTCGTTATCGAGAATCTCGGAGCTCTGCTCGAATTGAAAGATAACGATAATTAAAAATTGAACATATATATGAAATATTTATACATAACAATGTATGTGCTTGTGTATATATATAATTTTTTATAAAATAAATAAAAAAAATTTTCTATATATATATCAATATATGCGAATGTATGCGGCTTTTTCTATCGCGACTTTCTATACGGTGGTTACCAAATACTTTCAATGAAACTATGGCGAACCGCCATCGTAGACTTAATTAAAATTCTAGAGCACCATATACTGTATGTATCACCTACACACTAATTATATATGTTTCAAGATTAATAATGTATACATTCGACAGATATCGGCGCATCGGTTAATGCCATAAAAAGTCGTATAGAAAGTCGACTTGCAGCAATGATTCTTAAGTATAAGAACCTGTGTTTCTAACTAATCTACTAATCTATATATATGTTCTAAAAATGGTCTTGTAATCTAGAGATAGATTAATTAAAATTGGAATTAAATAAATGTTGTCCGTAAAAAAAATTTTTTTTTTTTTGAAAAGGATTGATAAGAGAATTCATTCTACAATATAAATTCTTAATTATCGAAATCAGAGAATGCCATTAAAATTTCTTCTCATTTTCTATCTCTCCTTATTTTACAATTATCACAAGAGACACAATCAAAAATTTAAAAGGAATTATTTAAAAAATAAATTAATAAATTTTATTTTTACTTATCTTTATTTAAAAAATAATGTTATCTATTATTCAAAAAATAATAAATTCTATATTTTCATTAGCCTAAAATAAATTTTTTATTTAGGTTTTATATATAATTAAAATTGAAAAAGAGAAAGAAATAGAATAAAATTGAAAGAATTATACAATCCATATCCCCCTTATGATGACGAAAATTAAGTATTTACTTTCATAGAAATAAATTTTTCTCAATGAATTATAATTCATCTATCCTTATTTCGCGCTGGGAATAATAAAATCTTAGAATATATCAAATATAGTTTCAGAACATGTCATAAGTAAAAAATCGTCGCAGTGATACAAGTTGCACGCTTTCATTAACTTTGCCACTGATAGTTTACGACGTCGTTGAATCATAACATTGTTACAGAGTAAGATTGAAATCGATTTAATCTTAAACGTTATCAATATCTCTTTCCGAATCTCTTTTATAGTCCGAATGCAGTTTAACGGCTGAGACTTTACTATATGCGATTCTCTAACAGCTATCTACATATCTGCTCTGCAGAATAGGCCAACATATATAAAACATTATATAAAACATTGATGCTATTACAAAATAGCAAAATCAAAAAGCTCCTAGATGTATTTAAAATTCTCTTGTATATAACGCGTGCATACTTTTCAATTATCACACGGTATAGATAAACTGCTAAAATAATAAAGAGTGAAAGATAATTTAAACAGTATAATTAAAATAATATACTAATATAATACAAAATAATATTTCTGATCATCAATTTTCCATTACTAGTAATAAAAGGACAATCTCTCTTGAGAAGACGATCGGTCTATTATGCTAAATTTAACAGATTTGAAGCACCGATTCCTCGATTAAAAATAAATATATGTTATACTGTAAAGAAATAAATATATCTTCATCGTTATTATCTAAAATTCTATAAATATTAATTACGAAAATAATTTTCTTTTCCGTTTCAATCAATACCGATTGATTCTTTGCGACGAGATATTCTCATCTTTTGCCAGTCCATCGCAAGATAGGTCACAAACGTAGGCTTCTAAGCGTACATCTATCCTTCGAACATTACAACAAGCTAAGAGACGAAGGCATAAAGTAGAAGAGAAATTGTCGCTCTTCGCTGCACATAAAGTATATCGCGTTCCATGTCGAACAAATTCGCATAATCAACAAAACAAAGCTTAACGAAATAAAAAATATTCGCAAGCTTTAGTTACATTGCACTCTATTTCTTTGTTTCTCTCTTTTCCCGTACAACATCAGCAGAGCGTTAACAAGGACTCCAAGTGTTTATATAACAACGTTAGACACGAAAACACGTCGGTGAGATGCCGGTATTCGTTCCTGAAAAACAATGTTAGGCAGTTTACTGTTTGGAGTTAAAAAAGTATTCTTGAAAGTCTAGGATTCGTCGCGCATTAAAGAGAGTCCAGGGCTGAAGAAGGCTACGCCGACGTGTACATCCAGACGAGATCCGACCTGATGTTCCCCGAACAAAAATCCGCAAATCTTTTTAGCTTCCCAGAGACAACTAGAAGACAGTCACGGCCTTGTTGCAGTCAGCAAGCGAAGAGCGAGCTCGTTAGGTCAACAGTTGCGATTAGCAGTGCCATTATTCACCTGTGTGCCGGCGACGCCAGTTTCCGTTTCGTAATCGGCAGGTCGATGCTTCTCCGTAGAACAGTGTCTCTCTCTCTCCTCCTTGAAGAGATCTGCTATGCAGTGCGCCTGGGGAAACATTCAAAGATTTCGAACGCTTTACCTTGCTTCCTCAAATATATTTCTGCATTAATTGATACAATTTCTCAATATTATCATTGAGATTATATCTCATTTTTCAATTAAAACTATAAAATCTCAATATCTAAAACTTTAACTGTAGAGTGAAATTATGCAAAGTGTTCGATAGGCATATTTAATGTAAATGTATAACAATATTTCTTATCAAATCACACAGAATAATATTTCTTTGAATAAGAAAATTAAAATGCATAATTAGATGTCAAACTACAACCGATTAAAGAAAAAATGAATTGAAATGTATATAGATAATATAGCCTTATTCCTTCAGTTAATTTTAGTAAATAAATCTTTGTACTTTTACAGAATCTCAATTTAAAGAATTGAAAAATAATAATATAAATATTTAATTCTAATTCATTTTTTAAAAAGCTACCAACGATATAGTTCGATTAAATTTTGATAGAGAAAAAAAGATTATTTCAGTTTTTTTTATCTAAGAAATACTGATTAAATATATTTGTACTAAATATCGTGCATATTTTAATATTCTAGTTATTTAAACTACCTACATGATTACATCATAATTATTTCCTTAGTAAGAATTATTTCTTATCGTTAGTAAGAATAATAATTATATGTTGCAACATTTTTTTTTTTCCATAATTCGTTCAATTATCGGATCATAGAAATTTAATTTTGAAAAAATGATGTCGAAATCATATCTTTCAGAATTATTTTATATCGTTAAATAGAGCACACGATAAGGATTGAATAATGCAATGCTCACCACAAGTAAAGCGATGATCGTGCCAAGAGTAGATCCGGCGAGAACATCACTCCAGTGGTGTTTGTAATTGGAAATTCGTGACATAGCGGTAAACCAGGCCATGAGCAAACACAGCAGTTGAAGCAAGTGCTTAAGCAATTTGCTGCCCTTCCACTTTATCCTTAATTGTAGATACATCTAAAAAAAATCCCAAGTATCCCGTGCCTTTTAATAATTCTTCCTTTTATATACATATTATTAAATTATCTTCACAACTTAAGAACTTAATTAAATAGAGAACAGTAGAAATATTAGATACAATCTTTGCTGAAAAAGAAATTGATTCAAATTTTTAAAAGTTATTTCGTTATCGATGTAAGGACAGAAACGATGTATGTATATATAAATCTGGAAAAATAAAAATTTTTAAAGACAGGTATAAATATGGGAGAGAAAGAGAAAGAAAGAAGAGAGAATGTTGTAAAGAATTCTTTAATTCAACACATAAATAACTTGTATTAAACCGTTCCCAATATTGAAGTATCATGTATCGATAATGATATAACAAAGTACACGTTAACTCAATTTTCCCAATTACTTGTAACTCACAATTTGCCTATTTTTCATAATCACCGATACGACTATCGTATCGATTCAATTTTATCGTGCACGCGAATCGGATATCTGTAACGTTCTCAAGCGTTTCGTATATAAGATTATGCAAATCGAATTTCACGGGCGTGGATTTCGCAATCTCGTCTGCGAAACGATACGCTCGTATCGAGCCTGTTGAATGAATGATTAAGATCCGGCCCGCGTATGCAAATCGATGCGTTGCGACGCAACGCTTGTGTGTAACTTAAAGACTACTTACCGCAAGGTAGATCATGGTGTAGGCCGAGGAGGACGAGTGACCGGAGGGAAACGATAATCTGAAACGATCCATCGTACCGTGTCAAATAAATCGCACTTATGAATCGGGAGAGAAGGTAAGAGAAAGAAAAAAAGATCTTTTTTGCACTTTGCACTCTTCTCTCCCACCCTTCCACGTTCCCTCTATTAAGTTTATCGCTATTAAATTCGGGGCGTGTGTAACGTGCCGATTACAATCGACGAAGAGCCGAGTAGCTGCGAGCGATGAAGAATACGAAGAAAAGGAAGAGAAGGCAGGGCTCTGCGTCGATCCATTGCATGAGCAAAAAATGCGAGAAGGGCGCAAGGGAGACTCGATACTTGCGCCTCTCGCTCCCTCCCCCCTCTCCAGCCACTCTACGTCTCACTGTTAGGAGAAACGCGCTCGTAAAAAAATTCGGAGGGCATGCTACGTTAATTAGGACCTGCAGCTCGGCCATTCGACTACGACTGTCGGTTTTCAATGTTTGCTACTGAGAATTATTACATCTGTATTTTGATCAATTCGTAAAGTCGTTCCCCTAATCCAATCTCACTTTGACAATCAGAATTTTAATTCGAGATACAATATCGAAGATTGGAATATTTTCTTGACACATTTTCGCTCGGGAAAAACAAATGGGCGTCAAGAAAATCCGTCATTAGAAGTGAAATCACGCAGGGATTTTTTGTGCGGGATAGCTCATATATCTTTAAACGCTAACATAAATACGAGGACGTAATGACAGGATATATTGGTAATTAACGGATGAAAGCGGCCACCGCGTGCTTTCTAAAGCATGTATATCCCCGCGCACACTCTTATGTAAATCTCAAGGACTCTTCTTTACTTGGTGACACTGGTAAATGACGGGTCAATGAAAAGCCCGTGACGGTCCTGCTCGCCCTTCGTTCATCCATCTCCCTCTCTCTTTTCCTACGTTCGAAACAGTTCCTTGGACTATTACCGCGCTGAGGGGATATCATGAATGAATTCTCTGTGTGGAGTCGTCACGCTTTATCATCTTGATTCCTTAAATCTCCCTATATACATAAAACTGTCCCCGCTAAGACCGCGGCCGCGCGAATGACCCGCATGATACGCGTATATACACAGAGTGTGCTATATATAACGTATAAACTCGTGTACTATCGTATTCCTTGTTCAAAAAATAAACATTTTTTTCCTTTGGCAAAATTTACGGAATTACATCATTTTCGAAATAGGTATCTCATTTTTTTTTAATACGCCAAATGGGACAACATTTGCTGCTTCTCAATTCTTAAAAATTTTGATAATTTTGTTATATAATCAAGCCTAATATTTACATTTTTAGAATGAAACACGAAGAAATTTTATTTGAGTTGACATAAAATAAATTTCTTTGTGGTAGCAAAGTGTAAAGTTTTATTTTATTAACTTAAATAATATTTCTTCAAATGTTTCACAAAAATGTAAATATTAAACTTAATTATAATAGAATTATAAACATTTTTACACGAAGAATCAAGAAACAGCACAGTAATATATATATATA